GGTTCGGAAGAGATCTCACTTGTGTTTGTTTGTCTGCAACTGCAACTCAAGCAAGTTTCCTCCCTGCACTGTGACCATCGGCAGTGTAAGTAAAGCTTTCTTTATAAAACCAATACGCTTCCGTGCCTAACTCTACTCTGTCATGGAAAAACCCCACCTGACGGTCCGGGCTACTGGCCATAGCCTTAGACCGACCCTCAGTCCCCACAACTCCTAACAAGGAATCTATTAACGCTGCTTGCTATATATACAAACTAGTCAGGGAAACAGAGGCATGCAAGATTATTATAGTATAAACTTATTGAAATTAGTAATATTACAGTAAAATCCAGTCTGTCACAGCATCTATACTTCCTAGTGCCATCTGTAATTGGCATACAAATCAATAAATGTGTGTTGTTTTAGTGGCGGGGTGTTTGGGTTGTGGGAAGCATGTGGGGGCATGTTGGGTTTGGGGAACTGTAAGTTGGGTTTATAAGGGGGGTGCGTTGGGCTTGTAAGGGGGCGCGTGTTGTGTGCACACTGGGTTTGTAAGGGGCGGTGTGGGGGTTGTGCTTTGGGTTTGTGAGGGTGGGGTGGGGCCTCCCCTCATACCCACACCTTCTCCATACGTCTGCCCCTCCTCCCACGTGCATCCCCCAATGGGCCATTGCCGCTAGTAGCAGCAGCAGCAGCCACTCGTGGCATGCGGCAGGCGGAGCCTCCCAGTGTTGCTCTGGCCAAGTTTGAGGAGCTACAGAGATCAGAGAGTGACAGAGCAGGGCCAGGCTGGCCATCTGGCTCCATCATGCGGGGCTCCCTACGGCTCGTGTACAGCGCCTAGGACTCAGCTGGACCTGTGTGCCCATGGGGTGAGCCCTGCATGATGGAGCCAGCAGCCTGGCCCTTGTCCCTCCCACCATATGCAGCTGGCTCCCCGCTGAGTCCTGGGATCTGCATGTGGCGGCAGGGATTGGTGTCAGGTCTCTGGATCCATCACACAGCACTTCCTGTGGTGGCACGTAGCTTTGGCCAAGTTCTGGGAGCTGCACATGAGCTGTGAGGAGCCCTACGTGATGGAGCCAGGCTGGCCCCACACTCCCACCGGCCTTGGCACCATACTTGCCCCAGCCCTGTGCTCCCACTGGCCCTGTCCCTGCGCTCTGGGCTCTGTGCTCTCACCTAGCTGCAGCTTCCCCCCTGCCTGCTGCCACTTCCCTATCTGTGGCCCAGGGCACTGCAGCAGGGACAGGAGGAGGAGCCACTGGAGGTGGGTAGAGCTGAGCCGTTCCCCAGGCAGCTGCAGCAGTGGCGGCAGCAGCAGCTCTGCCTGGAAGCTGTGCACGCTGGCTGGGGCCAGGGCCCTCCCGCTGGCGAATGTGGCAGTGTAGCACACTGTCCTGGGGGGGAAATGGACTGAGCTCGGCTCCATGTGGAACGAAGCAGGGCAGCTGCAGGCTGGGCCAGATGCAATTAATTGGGCGCCTGCCTGTGAGCTGGATTAATTTGCCTGGCCGGTTGGATTTGGCCTGTGGGCTATATTATGCCCATCCTCGGGATAGGACTTGGGGTTTCTTTGTTTGTTTGTTTGTGTGTAGACTCCTACTGACTTCTGTAACAGTTCTTGAAAGAATCTTATATGACTGATAGCCTGTCAGTGTGATATAACTTAGAAGTTTTAATGATCAAAAACAATATACAATTTCAAGTACAGATATGAATTATACACAGTATAGTAAAACATCAGAGAAAGAGAATATATTGCATTGGAAAAGAATTGCACTTATCTGTTGGATGGTGACAGTTCAAATCCTAAACTTCAGTTTCACGGTATTCCTCCAAATGGTGTTGTTGACTTTGATGCACACAATAATTTTAAATCAATAACATTTGCTCTGACAATGTAACAACTAACACACTAACGGAGGATATGTGTAACTGTGAGGCTTAATTTTTGTATCCATATAACTTGGTCTTATTGTGTACATTTTCCGGATGATAACAGAGTGCATTTCCTCCCTATCCTAAAATCCGCTTGTTCTTGCAGCATTAAATGGTTAATGTTATTTTATTAAAACAGTAAGTAAACTCAATTTTAATCCAGTGATTTTCAACCAGTGTGTCATACCAATCTTAGCATTGTTGGGTTTGCATACAAGGTAAACCCAGCAGTTTCAAATAAGAATCCATAGTTGTAGTCTCTTTGAGTTCTTTGCAACAAAAAAAACCTGCTCTATTATTTTTCTGTTGTCCAAAAAAAAGTGAAAACTAAGGGTTGGCTTTTTTTTTCCAGAGGTGTTTTGAGTCTGAAAAGGTTGAGAACCACTGGTTTAATCTTACTTCTTACCATAGGCAAATAACTGCAGTTCCCCATAAATACATTACTCTGTAATAGTTTAGCTAACTCTAATTCTTATTCTTGCAGCCTGGAGTTCTAGGATATTTTGAGTTCAATGCTTCACCTCAGCCTCCTGGTTATTTGACATTCTTCACATCAGCATTACATTCATTAAAGAAAGGTAAAAGCTTCATCTTAAGAATTTAAGGCATCTTTAACAATAGTTTAAGCGATGGATTATAGTTCTCATCTGGAGTATTTTGTAATCTGAGAATTATTCTTTTAGGGTGGCTCTTATCATTGATCAAACTGCCAATTCTTGGATTCCTTTGTCAATAGACAGTGAATAGATCATGGACTCATTACCGAATTAATCAAATACCAGGTCTGTTTTTATATATCATGGTCAGAGTAGCACAAAATATGTTGTGTGTATCTTTGGCCACATTCTGTAACAGGCTAAATATCTGATCTTTGTTTTTATACTGTGTGCTAAATATATCTGGTAAGTCTGACCTGCAGTCTCTCTACTTTATTGAAGGAACTATTGAACATTTCTCTTGTCATACTTCATTGTAACTTGTAACTTTTTGTTATAGAAGTACTTAAAAGAAAGTATAGTGTTTAAAGGTAAATTTTAAAGTAGAAAATGAAGCTAATTCATAAGTCTAAGCACTAAAATTGTCAGATTGTAACATCTGATTCCACAACAGTTAAACATGCGAGTAGCTTGTGAGTTGTGCTTCTCACTGGAGTCATAATTGTGGTAGTGAAAGACCAGAAGTTTTGGGGTGTGTCCTGTCATAGTCTGCTAATATTGACTGCTGGCCACTTCCCCCTTTTTATTATACAATCCCTCAGAAATTCAGTTTAGGAGAGGCCTACAAGATCTTGCTTATTGAAAGATGCCAAATAAAATATTTACTTCCATTTGTGTGATCATGATAAACCCATGATAAATGAGTTCTTTTTACATGAATCTAACAAACAGGAGTTGCGACTTCCACCAAACTTGTAAAGTAAAGAAGTTTGACAGGGGGTGAAAAACGAGATTAAGGAAGCATTATCCTTTTATTTTTGTTAAAGGAGAAAAATAAATTTTTGAGAAATGGATTTTCTTACTGTCTGACAACGTTGGATAGGTTTTGTCTGTTTTTAATAGTAGATATTCATACTAATGGATATGGTTTGACCATATAGACACAGGGAATGCCTATATTTTCGAGAGTTTTGTTTTTTGCCTAGTTAGAGAAAAAAACTAATGCCCCAGTATGCTTGCTCCCTCTCTGAATAAATTGAAAGCATAATTATCTTGCAGTTTTCTCAAAGTTTATTTCAAAACATAGTCAAGTTCCCATTATAGTCATTTAAGTGTGGAGTGGCATTTCCTAGGAACAGAAGCATTGATGTCATAATTAGTGGTTTGTTAGCAATTGAGGGGGCCTCTCCATTTGAACCATAGGTTGTTTTTTTAATTTTGAGAACTTTGCCAAGAAAATGTACACTCTAAGTACATTCAATAAAATTACACAATTTTTTTCTTTAAATATATGTAATGTTTATAGCCTGAAAATATTGTAATTTAGTTTTAATGCTGTAACCCCAATGAGTTTGTGTCATGTGTTACAGAAGCACTAAGTAAGGCTTGTATAGCTTCTCTTACCCATGTCTTTTCACATTGCCATTAATTTCCTCAACACATTTGTGAAAGATAGATATTATTTCCCTCAATTTACAGGTCAGGGACCTGAGATGTAATGAGGTTTGACTAAGATAAGTTAGCTAGTGGCAAAGTTTGGCATAACTCAGAGTTATTTTGGCTTTACAGTTTACACATGCATTATTTAATTTGTGTTGTGTTTGAGACCCAGTCTTTTATTCTGTATTGTTAATGTTCCTTTTTTAGGCAGGCAGATAATCTATGTGGTAAAATGGTAGGGAAGATAAAATGTCCTATCTTCCTGGTTGAGTTATTATTTTGTTAACTGCATACAGTAGAACTTTGTCATGCTATGAAATTTATACTGAAGTATAAAATTTCAGCTGTCATCTTAAAATGTTAATCTATGAAGTATGTATGGTACTGTTGAGAAGGCGTAGGAGGGAAAAGCCAAGTATTGCTCTAGGAGGCATAACTAGCAATTTTGACAAACTAGGCAGAGCCAGGGAATTAAAGAAGGGATTGTTCTTAGCACAGGAGAGCAGGAGGTGATGGGGAGGGCAGAGTCTTATCTGACATGTCAGGGGCTCACCCAGAGGTGTATCTAGTAAGTTTTGTGCCCTGGGACAGGAGGGTCTAGCCAGTGCTGCAGGAAGAGATGTTTGTATAATCAACATTTGTGGGGTTAATGCAGCAGCTGCCACCAGATCTTATGTTGAATAAGACTATAAGGTCCTTAATTTGGCAGTGAAAAAGTGGATGTAAGAGGGTTGACACCCTGGCTGTTGGCTGTGAGGATGCTTTCCCCACAGCAACAGTGTTTCCCAGGAGAGAAGAAGGGAGTGAGGTTGACAAGGGGATTTGTATCGCCACACCTTGTAGCTGGAGCCAGCCCCTGCCACCATTCCAGAGTCCCCCTGCCTTCATTCCAGTGCCTCCCCGTTAGTCAGCACCCTGGGCTTGTGGGTCACTCTTCCTTAGTTATGCTACTCATTGCTCTGTAGTTTGAAATACTAGTTTAGGAATTAATTCTAGAAGAAGCATTGAAGTTCTTTGTAGTTATAGGCGCTCAGGAACTGTGAAGTAGCTTAAAGAGGTGAATTATGAGCAGGGATTCAGGTTTTCAGTTTGCTGCAGACAAGCACGGATTTTTCCTGTAAAGAAGAAAAATGTGTCTTTTATCTCTCGGAGGAGAAAAACGCCTGAAACCACAGTTCCAGCCTGCGGGGGGCTGTTTGGGGCTAGTGGGGAGCGGAAGGAGGGTGATCACAGGCAGAAGGTGCCACATGCATGTGTGTGTACCCATGCACATGGCAGCCAGGCAGTGTGGTAGAGAGCAGGTCCCACAGTTCCCCACAAGTAAGTCTATGGTGGGGCATAGGTGACGTGTTGGGGGGTAGAGGGGGGCATAAGCAATGCGTCAGGGGGACATGAGGAGGGCACATGCTCCCCCAGATTTCTGCACCCACAGTGGGCACATGGTTGCAATCTGGCCAGACCAGCATGGGCAGAAGCTGCCTCTATGGCCCAGTGGGCAGGACCCAGTGTGGGAGGGTGGAGCAGGGCAGTGAGACCCATTGCCAGGACCCCCACACCAGATGTGCCACAAGCAGTGCGAGGAGTAACGGACTGGGGTGGGGCCACGTTGCCCTCACCTGCTCCTGCCGCCAATCACTTGCATGCTGGGTCATGGGTGTACCTTGCTGCCATGACCTGGCCGCTTCTGCTGCTCCCCTTAGGCTGCGGCTCTAACCCAGATGAAAGGTAGGGTGGCAGGGGCAGTGCAGGTGGCCTTAGGGGAATGGCAGTGGTGGTGGTGGCAGCCAGGCCACGGTGGTGGGGTAGAGCTGTGGTCTGGCCCACAAGTGACTGGCACTGGGTGGAGGTGAGGGCAGCGTGGCCCCCCACTCCCTGGCCCATTATTCCTTGCCCTGCTGGTCGTGCATCTGGCACAGGGGTCCCAGCGACCCTGCTCTACCTTCCTATTTTGGGTCCCACCAACTGGGCCACGGAGGCAGCTCCTGCCTGTGCTAGTCCAGCCAGGCTGCAGCCCCGTGCCCACAGTGAACGCAGAAATCTGGGGGGGGGCACGTGCCCTCCCATGTTCCCCTGATGTCCCCTATGCCTTCCCCCCCACCCCCTCCATAGACTTGTGATAGAGAAGTTAATAGTCTTGCTGCTTAGTTGGTGGGTATTAATTGTTTCAGTTTTTGCTAGAGACCCTTTAGATCTGCACACGCGCACACACTTCCTCTGCCCCCCAGTATTGGGGTAATAACAGTACAGTAAAAGCTTAAATACCTGGGTTTCAGATTCTCCGTGACAATTGACGACAGTGCATGGAATTGTATCCATGAAGTGTTCCCCATGTCACTCCTCCAGAGTGAACTTGGAAAACTAAAAACAAACAAACAAACAAAAACAAACCCAAAAAACTTCCCACCCAAAGCTGTTACATTTTTAAAAGTTCAAAGCAAGTCTCTCGACACAGAGATGAAGGGTGGAGCTAAAGCTATAGCTAGTCACTCTCTTCTAGTGTCCTATGAACTGAGATTTCACCCTGCATTCCTTTGCTTAGTACTTATTGAGTGTCTCCACTTCTACACCATTTCAGCAATGAAATTCTTGAACAGGGGTAGAAAGAATCTCTCCAAGGATGAGTCAAGGCATGGGTCACCTATTTCTGTGCCTAGAAAGTAATTAGGGTAGGATGGTCATCTTTCCTGGAGATACTGAGGTCGGTAATACCAAAGACACTAATGAATTGTTGTGCAAGAGGTGTTTCTGGTACCGAACTGGTTGAGTCCCAGAGTGGATGTCTGTTGTAATTGGACTTCACTTTTGGATTCCATGTGCTTTTGAGCCACTTGGATCTGGACAGTGCTGTCATTGTTTCTAATGTTGGAGCAGGCATGTTCCTGGGCACGCACCTTTTGCCTGGCTCTACTTCCTTGGCAGTATGGAATGTCACAAACTAAATAGTCTAGGTCCTAAAACTGAAATGTAGAGCCATTCCAAGTCTCCCTAGCTGCCTCTTTACTGGGCCCAAAGTCTACCTCCATAGGTGCTCTGTTTTATATCTTTAGGGAACGTGTAGTTGGAAAATAGGTTTTGTACAGAAATGTCTAAAATCCCTGTAATTTATTATCAAAATATACAAGAGAGGTCTTTGTATTCAACAGTAAATACCTAAACGTTCTCTCTCCTTTCTTTTGAGGCTATTTGCCCCTTGTGATCTTGTAGGTCTAATCTGTGTGATGAACTGGGAAAACTAGTTTACTTTAACCTGTCTTGTATTTAGGGGAAATGAACTTTTCCATTGCAAAGTAGATGAAGTCTCAGATATATATTGGACTCCAGGGCCTTGTAGTTCTCTGGTTTTGCATGTTCCATTCCCAAGAAGAAAGCACGCACAATAATCTTCCTTTAGGCCAGTGGTTCCCAAATTCTGACAGATTGTGCACCACCAGTTTAAAACTATACAAACTTAAATACCATCAGCAAATTTTTGTCATATAAAG